CATCTTGGACAGCAGCACTGAGTCTGGCGGCAGCAGCGTCTACGGAACTGGTGTCATACACACACGACCAGTCATAATTTGAGAGAATATTATATAATAAGGTATAATCACCAGCTATATATTTACGATATGAATACTCACAATTTTGAGTAGGGTTAACAAGAGGCAGACTAATGCCAATAACCATAGGAGAGTGATAAGTATCAGGCTTTATTAATCCTGAGTCAAGAAAGGTAATACTATAATCATTAAAGTTTGTGAAAACCAAATCAAGCAAATTGCTGCTGCCAACAGAATCAATGCACTGTTGCAGGTTAAGTAGACATGTGGAGGTGTAGATCGCATCACCTCTGAGTTTAGAGTAATAAAGGCAGTCAGGAACGGCCAGACCATGATTCCAGTCGAAACCAGGAGCGTTGAAATCCCCCACTATGACAACTCGGAAGTTTTTGGTATCCAGCCTATCTTCTAATGAACGAAAATAATTGGCAATGACTTCAGGTTTTGTATCAGGGGGAAAATAATGGTTTCCAATGAGCAAATTTTGATTGTCAAGAGTGGGAATTTCAACCCAAACACATTCGTTATAGGATTCTAAGTCACACCTACGTTTAAAAGAGCGAATTTTAGAAGAGAGGGCAGTAAGAACTCCACCGCCACGAGTCTTATTGGCAGACATCCGATCGGAGCGTAAAACCGTGTAACTGTCAGGAAATAGATTATGATCTAAACACATATCATTAAGCCACGTCTCAGTTAAACAGAGGATATTGTAATCGGTAGAACAGACATTACTGTAAAGTTCGAACTGCTTGGTCCGAAGGCCTCTGACATTTTGATAATAAATATCAAAACATGTTACAGGCTGTGCGTGTGACGCGGCTGAAACACGTGTGTTCATGAAGTTAGTGTTAGCCTTTATTCAAGTGTGTCGATGCCCTCCACCGGGGCTCCTTCAGGACTAACAGAGCCGCTTGCATGATCAGGGGTAGGAACACCTGTCGGAGGGAAAGGGGGCCTAGATATGGCCGACTTTTCCGCAGAGTAAATCTGGTCTGGATTTAATCGCCCGTAATAAGGGGCGATTAGACAACCAATTGGCCAGACATCTGTATTGTTAATTAAATGAAAATCATCTTCCGAAACAGAAATGTGAAATGAGGAATATGAACTAAATTTTGTTTTTAACTTAGTGCATTTTAGGGAAGCAAGCTCAAATTGAGCTTTTAAAGACTGATCAACGTCAGCTGATGTTACATAACAATAATTCCATTAAAAATCAAAGTTATCATTAAGAGGTCAAAAAAGTAAAATGTATATACATTTACAATGGTTATGCCATTTTTAGGCGAGAAAGAATTATATACATACATATATATTGCATACAATTAGTGTTTTAATATGACGCGACGACCTTATAAAATATGATTAAGAAGAACGTTACTGACTGCGATTACGTCATCGTCCCTGCAAACAACATTAGCAGCTGATGCACATCTAGCAGAGGGACAGGAGCAGACGCCGAAGAAAGCAAAGTCTCTGATCTACCGAGCAGGAACTCGGAGACCAATAATTTGGAAAAAAGAATTACAGAATTTAGAACCAACACAAACTTCAATAACAAACAGAGTATCGAGGTGGTGTCCTCGTACACAAAGCGTGCAATTGTGACTCCTGCAAAACAAGAGAATGCCTGTAATGGACTTGAGGAAAGAAACAAAACAGAGGACTGCAGACCTCTGCTGGACGCGTTCCAGTTTGCTGGAATCTGTTGGCGTAATTGAATTTCATTCACACAACAGACTCGTATTCAGGCCCATGTCTAACATGCGCATGCATTCAAGAGATGAGAAGGTGAAGGTAATAATACGGACTAGAAAATAATAATAATAATAATAATAATAATCTTTAAAAGACAGACGGGGCGTGTGGCCTGAATTTATCTGGCTTAGAATAGGCACCAATGTCGGGTTCTTGTGAACATGCTTATGAATCTTCGTGTTCTAAAAGGGACGGGGATTTCTTGACTAGCTGACTGATGTCCACCTCTGTGGAAGGCCTCTGTTAAATAATCTAGGACCTTAAGTCACGGAGTCAGTTAACAAATGTCTCTTGTCTCTTACCACGCTTCGGATGAAACTTATTTTCTACTGTGAAGATGGAGGCAGCAGATTCCTCCGAAATGTCAATAACCACATACGAAACCCTACGGTGTCATAACTTAGAAAAACAAATTTTTTGTACAGAGTTTTTGCATAGAGTGTTTTGGTGTGAAAACCAGAAGGAAAGAGACCAGTAGAAAGACCTAGACGTAGGTGGTAGAATAATATTAAAATGAATCTTACAGTAACAGGATGAGGTGGTATGGACCGCATTCATCTGGCTTAGGATATGCCCTATATGATACGGACCAGTAGCGGGCTCTCGTGAACACGGAAATGAACTTTCGGGTTCCAAAAATGTTGGAAAAATCTTGGCCAGCTGAACAGCTGGTGGCTTCTCAAGAAGGGCTGAGCCCCATGGAGTTAGTTATGTACATCAGTATATTCTGTAAGACGAAGAAGACGTTAGTTCATGCCCCCCGCCACTCAGCGCCTTTGTTAAGCCACGCTTTGAAAATGTGACTGTTAATGACCACAGGATTCTTATTTGCTTATCATTTCCTTCGAATTCAACCTTCGTGGGATGAAGCATATACTGTACATGCCAGTTGTACCGGGGAACTTCTCTCTTCAGTAATTCTAAATGTAAGGCCATCAGCTGCACTGAATACGGGATCTGAAGTCAAAGAATTTTTAAATACGGCCATTTGGGGCTCAGGTGACCGTTTGAGTATGCTGACTGTGCTCCATTTGATTATTAACGCTGATCGGACATTGTTCACTTACTTGCAAAGTACATTATGTACCTTGACACTATAAGCATTGTGACGTTCACAAATATTTTGAGCTTAAAACAGGTATCATATGTTACGTTTCCGCTGTTTAACATTGATAATTTTCTAACTTTATATGGATTTTACATGGAAGAAAATCTTTTGGTGCCATTTTATCACACAACAGTTCATATTATTTTGAATCCAAGAAACAAAGTGTAAAATCTTTGCCATTAAATACAGAAAACCTGTGTACAACAGATGCACGCACACAAAAGTCGTTAATTCTCGTATATTATGGAAATATTTTAAATTGTTATCAAAGTTTTTGGATTGTACTAAATGCTTAAGTTGAAATATTTTAATTTTTCGTTACAGTATCAGACGGTTCTTACTCCTGATGAAAGTATCACAGGTGAGTAGGCCCGTATCAGGTAAACTAAACTGAAAGAAACTGGTTTTTCTAAAGTGTGAACTTTAAAAATTTTAACTTTTTTTTTAATTGTCTCTTTACTCTTTCTTATCATACAGCCCAGCAAAAATTTAGTTCCAGAATGTGCGGAGCCCGTTATGAATATATATAAGCCTATATTATATAAATGTTACATACTTAAAAATGTTCATTTTATATATTCATGTAGAATAATTCCAAAGAAGCTTGTAGGGCTTGATGGGGGATATCATTTTCATTAATAATGGAATTGTCATTGTATTTTGGGGTGGGACTATAGACGGGGTATGGACTGATGAATGGATCACTGACACACAGAGACTAGTGTCCTCTGTGTATTACAGTCCCCGTTGGCCATTTCCTGGCAACGCATTTTAGCACAGGAACTATAAGTCTCACTGAATTACACACTCATAATATCACACATAAAGTCTTCTCTTCACAGCCGCACTCTTGCAACTGCTCTAGTTCGCAGCCTCCCATATCCACTGTCCTGGTCGCAGACTTGTAACAGATCCCTTACGGCTCATAAACCGCACTTTCTGACCGCTGATTCAAGACTGGCTGGGTCGCCTCAGTTGTCTTCCCTATATTCCCTTTGCTCGGACCGAGTAGGAAACACCATTTCCAGCAGCAACTCTATTATTACAGAGGTGTGTTTACCGCGCCGTTGCATGGCGACGGCTGTCGTTTCGTCGTTTCGAAGGTCTTTGCCTAGCAACGGGTCTGTACGCCACAGTAAGAATCCTGTTGTATGTTCAATATTTTGTAGGTGTGCATACATTTAGAATATCCCTATTTTATTTTTATTTGTCATCCACAGGCATTGCTTTCAATGAAACCATCTCTGTATTGTTTGTGTCAAGATCAACTTTGAACCACACCAGCTTTCTTTATAAAAAGACGATAATTCCGTATTTTCTAATCCAAATTTATATTCCAAACTGAAGCAAAATGTAATTTTGTATCCTTGCATTTGCTTACCTCTGTGTTGTGCAAGAATTGGCAAAGAAGACGCCCAGAAGAATATGGATTTCATCGTTAAAACATCGACAAGAGTTAACATGCATGTCCAGATATTTTTTATTTAAAATAAAATAATACATCGACATACGAATTCTCATTATACGAAGTTACAGTATCACGAGCATTAAAAGTTCTGTCTTCTGGGATATACCTCCATGTAGCCAGCTGAGGGTCAACCAACCTTTCGGAGGAATATATCAGCCATCTTCAGGGCCAAAGAGTAAGTCAAGCAAAAGACAAGCATGAATCATGCACCAATTCATTCTGGTTACCTGCTTGCCTTACTCTTCGATTCTGTAGATAGAAGTCATATGTTACTCCGAAACGTCAGTTGACATCCACCGAACCACATTGCGTTATATCTCAGAAGGCAGAGCTCTTAACAGTAACACCGCTCTTTTCCAACCCGCCTTTGTTTGTATCGGCGCAGTCGGAACGGTGCTATCCCTGCTACACCTGTTTCTACCTTAGGACAGTGTATGATGCCCACTGCAAGTTGTCCTCACAGATCAAACTAAGGAAGATCGGTATAGGTACGGGAAATTAGCTGGGTCGGTTTGCATGAGTCTCAGGGTAGCGATGCCGAAGAAAGCGGTATTCTGGGAGTTAATCCAAATGACGTTTATTCACCTTTGTTCTCCAAACCACACTGTTAAATTAATGTATTCTTAGCTTTAAGTTACAGCGTTACACGATCGGCAAGCTATGTCTCGGAGCGTGCAAGGGTCACGTCCGTTCAGTTCGGAATATGGTGAAAGTCTTCCCCCCCCTTTTTTTTTTGTGGAATGGCTTGCACATCTCACGCCGAGAATTCGAAAGATGGTGTTGACATATACATTTCATCCCATCTTCCGTAAGGAAGCTTGAACGAGGCAACTCAATCATACTGGCCCTCATTCACAGGCAACTGTAACAAGTTCTGACCTGTCCTTCTCATTGACCTTCCTTTTAGGCGCGTCCGGTTCCCTGTACCCGAGCTAAATTTATGACTGCTAGTAAATGTCAGAACTCCGGACTCCTTGGTCCTGCCAGAATCTAGAAATTTCAACATAAACACTGTATTGCAAGTCCCAGACAATGAAATACGATATTAAAGATCACAGTACATTTCCAGTAATATCAAAACATAAAACTTTTGAAATTAAAATTACCGAGAATTAATTAGAAATAAATTTCATGGTCATCTATAATCATCCAAATAAATAAGGGCTCAGAATGATCAGCGTCAACAGTTGTAGCTGTGAGAATCTGAAATTTAACGTACCATGAATCAATTTTAAAATATAAGCAGTTCAAGTACAGAGTGAATCGTATAGAACCGGCCCGATGAATTTGCTAATAATTCCGCAGGTGATGCATATAAACGCTCACAATTACGACATAATAATCCGTGGGCCGTGCTGAGTCGAATGGTGTGCGCATGATCCAGCAAGTGACAGCCCTTATGCTGCAAGGTCAAGGACAATGCCGAAACCTGTCTGCAGTGGGCGGGCGACAGTCATGAAGTACACTGTTGAACAGCGAGTGTTTCTAATGCCTACTTGAAAACGGCGGACACTTTCAACACCTGCTCTGATCACGGCACACAATCCAAGATAAGATATGTGTAAATTACTTTAATATCTGTATGGTATATTTTATATTACACCTCATTTCGTCGGGCCGGTTCTATATGAATCACCCTGTATTATGGAACAACAGTGTAACGAATTACTTGATATGTTTGTATGAAATAGAGTGTAAATATGCTTACGCCCACAACTGCAAAACGTTTCCTTCCATCTGTCTGGGGCGATTCTGCGCCCAGTAATGTCCTACGTACATTCTAACACTGCTCTCGGTAGTCATGGCACAGTTTTGTTCGGTGAATCGGGTAAAGCCCTGAATCTGTACCCTCTGTGTCTAAGCACAAAAACAGTGGCAAGAAGCTAATAATTCCTCTAAAATAGAAGGTCAAGAAGGGCCACCACGTCGAATTAAAGCTAGTGTACGTTGGCACATGTACTGGGGATTTCTGGCTTTACAGGTAAAAGTAGTCTGAATTTAGCTGAAGTTAAATGTGTTGGTTGGACAGTTACTCATTTACGTAATTGCGCCAAAGTCAACTAGTACACGCACTTACGATTTGAGAAGATAAAATGAATACAAGCAACATGCTTTGGAAATCAGAACCAGGGAAACTTGCTCCTAATTCTACCTGAATACTAAAAGAAAGATTAGACAGACGCAAAGAAATCATCAAGTATTTATAGTGTAAGTTGATAGTTGTAGTGTATAACCGACTATACAAAAATACTAGGTGGTGTATCAGCAGGTACCAACTAATTAACCTTTATTTATAAAAAAAAATAATTAAAAAAAACACGCCATGCTCCGCGAGGCGCGTACGAATTTTGCGATTAATGAGCAAGCCCGACGACCGATAGCGTTCGGAATGAAGTAGTTACATTTCAGAGATGACAGGTGTTGAAAATGATGTCCATCTACATGTAGATATCTTTCATAAACATTTATTTCGTTAAAAAACACAGGTCCAACAATCTTCCATGCACTTACACCACACACGACACCAACTTCCCCTGGATCGAGAGAATATACTCGTACGCCATGAAAAATCGGCAGGGGGGTTACCAGCTAGCGAAACCAAAAACGCGTTTGCTTATTATTTTTTAACGCGTGTGATGTCTCTTCCATGAGACCTTCCAAGAAAATTATATTGTTACTCTAATTTCTACAATGTAATAGTATAATTTATAATCATATGAAGTACAATTTATGTAGTCCGATCATTTAAAAATATATTCATAATTGATCAGAAAGAAAAAAATAATTATTTCATATTAGAATATTTTACGAATCACATTAATCACATACGTATTTTTTTATTAAATTGCTCATTCTTGTTCATTAAACCTTAAATTACGCACACCAATAAAATGAAAAATTAAAATTTAACTTACATAAATTTTGTTCTTTTCACCTAAATATTCAAAGCCCTCTTTCAACAAAATACACTTTCTTCTTCTAGTTATACCGTTTTGTTTTTATATTCATATTCTTTGATTGATCTTGTCTCATTAAACAGGTCTGCCCTCGACTAATGAAATAAGCTCTTCAACATCGATTTAAAAAATTGTAGCCGAACAGAAATAAATTCGGAGAACATCAAGAGTATATGCATACTAGAAGGTCTTAAACATGGCTGTTCTCAGGATCTGCCCCACCTCGGCCAAGCGATTCAACACGACACATAAAGACACGTACAGACATGCCGTGTCCGGTCGTGGCAGCAGTATGGCAGTTCACCGTCGCCGAGCCGTGTGAATAGCTCAGATTGAAGTCACAAATTTTGTAACTACAACTCATGGCACCGTCGCGTTAACGGACACGTATGAACTCATACTTGACAGTAACAATTTTACTTTCAAGGTTTTGCTCACGCACATTTACCAGCGAATAAAACAATCCTAAAAATGAAGAAAGCAGTCTTTTGGGATGTGGCACCGTGTAGATGTGGTGTTAACCGACGTATCGGAGGAACGTATCGCCTCCTCAACCAGTCTGCTTGTACCAGTTCTCACGGTCTCTTCGCTTGCGGATGTCTTATTTTTCCTTCTACCCTGAAGATGGAGGCAATACGTTCCTCCGAAACGTCGGTTAACACCACAACTACACGGTGCCACATCCCAGAAGACTGCTTTCTTCATAGTCACCGCCGTGAAAACCTCAAATCTTACAATCCTAAAAAAGGTTTAATCCAAACGATACGCCCCAACATTAAAATTAAGCAATTTACAGGGAAGAAATACATATGTCATGTAAACAGTATAACCAAGAATCAATACACATAGCCTGTAATGTAGTTAAGGAGGAACACACGAGAAAAAATTAGCATAAAATAAATCCCTTATGGCCAGATTAATAAAACTTATAAAACTGAGCAGTATGACGAGCAGTTTGATTCTGAGGTGAAGGGGGTTAGGCAGTCAGGGAAGACAGAAAAAAGTTTAACTTCAACAGAAACAGGCATCTTTCTTATGATATAAATATTGAAATGTTACCAGTCTGGCAGATCCGCATTTTCGCTAGATGCAGACAACTGCCCAGAAAGTATGCTCATTTTTACATGTATTCTATGTCATATTCTACATTTTTATATATTACCAATTCTAATAGGCGATATGGCCCTGGATTGGTAGGTGATTTTGGTGCTATAATAAATAATTTAATATTACATTTTGTCTGTTATAAGCATTTCAGTTTTGTGCCCTGTGTGTGTCATTTTTGAGGAGCTCACGCGTCTTGCCCATAGTCGCTGCCGCCAGTGAAATGAAGTGAATTTATTTCAAACTGTTGACATAGGGTATGCCTTGTGCACATATCTAAAAGTAACATAAACATTTCAGCTAAGTTCCTTCATACTACAACGCACTACAGATACAATTCATAAAAACAAACTCAAATACGTATCATATTCTAAGAATTAATAAGATATACGTATATTCATCTACAGAGTAAAATATATACTGTAAAGGGTAGGATTTCGTCTCTCTTATCTCTCCCACTTCCTGCATTTATTTGGCAATTTACTGCATAATTTAACTCCCATTCTTATTACACCTTTCTTAAAAGTATTTGTATTGTTCGTTTTGTTGCATGCCATGATTACAAATTGTAGAATTTTGTTCTACTTTCATGTGCTGTATTATTTCAGATCTACAGATGTAAGGTAATAGAAGCATATTTAAATCCTTATAAATCTGTCTACATGCTCGTATATCTCCAGAGACCGATTATTCATGTAACCTGCTTTTTGTAATTTGTCAAAGATATAAAATATAAAACGTATAAATGCCAACGAGTATGTGGAACTATCTGACAGTTTCTTAAAGTATGACACAAGAAAGGAAAAAAAGTAAAAAAGAAATCTTATAAAGTAATGACACTTTCTGCTCTATTTTATGGACCTGAAACTTGGCTTGTAACAAAGAGAGATGAAAACTGGATATATGTGTTGATTACCAAAATGAAATGTTTATGAAGTGTAAAGGGATGTATGAAGCCCAGGTGAACATGATAATGACTGATAAAATCAAAGAAAACATACATCTGTTTGCCATGAACTAACTTGTTGAAGACATGGGCTTCTTGATAAAATACAAGTAGTTGCTTGTGTATTCTAAAGATTCCTCTTTTACTATCCCAAAATCGGCATAAATCCATAAACAGAAGTGGACTGCAAATCTAGACAAAATGTCTAAGCCACATTAAAACTTATTTTGAAGCACTTTGCATGTGCACCTCGTGTTCATTGGACTGAAACTATAATAGGCAGAAGAGGAGAAAGTAAAACAGATCCTTCTGCAGTGGGAAAATGTTATACTCTCACGTATTAGAGGTCAGAAAGCAAAACTCATCACAAAGCAACTTTTATTCATGTAGGTACACTACACAAAGTCTTCTTGGCAATACCAATGCGGGTCCTGCAGTAGTCAGTATGCAGCTGAATGGGCATATCACAGAGATATTTTTCCCTGAATCTAATTTACTGGTACCCCCTTGATGGAGAGAATGAGTTGCTATATCAGCGGTTCCCAAACTTCTTCACTTCATGGTGTACCTGGACATCATTGTACTCTCTGAGGAACACCATAAAGATAATAACGATAATCAAATGACATTCAACAGGGGCAGATGGTAAACAGAAAAAATAAAATGCACCTACTTACAAGATTTTATGTACTGGATGCACACGATGTCCTGAGGAAACATATTTTATATCAGGTGTGCTATTTCACAAATGAATGTATTCCTCTATTCTTCATTCAATTTGTTTTTGTGGAGATGTAGCCAGCAAGCTACTGAAAGCAAAATAAACTAATTTAAATACTGGTATTGCCTATTAACTAGTAAATGTAATTAAATGTACAAACTAATTTCATATTATAAAAATACAGACATGAACATACATACACACAGACAAGAAACCTGCTGTCAAATTAACTGTGTTGTACTGCTTTGCAGGTATAAAATATCATGCATATATACTTATAATTGACAACATAAATTATTCAACAATATCAGCTCAACTAAGTCAATTATAATTATTTATCTTTTTGTGAAAGTAATTATTGAAATTGCATAAATATGTCTGTTGGCAACAATGACAGACGTGACATAGATTGAATTAGTTGAGTCTTGGTTGGCTGGAATGATTCTATACAAGAAACTGCAAAAAAAAAAAAAAAGTAAACTTGAGAAAATTATTGTCCATTAAATTTATTTCTTCTCCATTATCTACCCATTACTTTTTCATTCAAACAGTGACAGAACCAACCATGAAGAGGTTCCATAGCAGTACAATTGTGGTGTTACTGTTGACTGCAATATAATCTCAGAACAAATATTACATCTGAGACTGAAGGACAGAATGCTGCAATAATGATGAACCACCACAAGTAGAACCAGGCATTTAGTTTCCAGGATACTTTGCAATGTAGAAGACTGTTTGTAAAATTACAAAATTTTCTGCTTGCAGCCATGAATTATACAATGCTGGATTGGAAAATTAGCCACAGATTTGTAACTGGGACCAACATACTGGGTCTAGTAGTGTTTGCAACTGTTCTTGGCATAACTTTGGCGAAGATGGCAGAGAAAGGGAAACCACTGCTGATCTTCTTTGAAACGCTTGGCGGTGCTATGTTGATCATCACATACTGGGTGATTTGGTAAGAAATTCCGCTTCTTTATTAAATATATTGCACAGTCTGACTAACAGACTGGTTTTTTATACCACCGTGTTCATGAATTTGTATTGGCAAAAATAAATAAATAAATGTTCATAATATTTTTGTTTAAGAGAGTTGAAAAATTATGAGCTCAACAGGGGGACATTCCAAATTAGAGAACTGGAATTAATTTTGGAGCTGCTGATCTGTTGTTACTTTAGTAGGAGTAGTAATATGGACAATTTCACCAGTAGAAAATGTTGAAAATAATTCAGATTTATAACTGTAAATATATTTATAAACAGAATCAATGCAATTATATTAATTATATCATATTTTATGTTTGGTAGGTAGCTAAATATACTTCAGCATAGAGCTGGTACATAAGAGACAACTGACTCTAACATTGTCTCCATTCAAAACTGTGGTCTTCTAGGAAATGATGCCAGAGAGTTTAGTAAAGAATTACCAACGGTCTGGAGGAACATACTGCCTGTACTTGTAAGATGGAGGTGTCATGTCCAAAAAGATGGCATTCTTAATATTCACCACTGTGAGAACAATAATTCTTATATTTATTCCTTATTTTCTTTCAATTTTTTTATAATGCCTCCTGTGCCTGTAAAATATTCATGTTGTAAAGTTCAGGGGGCCAAAATTTATTTAATTTTTCAGTGTGAAAGTTCAGTTTACAGAACTTTCATCATATCTTACAGCAACAAGATTTTCTGGGTTTCATGGAAGATTTCATAAAAACAGAAAGTTCATAATATATTTCTCACTGTGTATTATATCCAAAAAGAATATGTTTATCTTGTGTGTTACCAGATAGGCTATGGTTTCATGCATGTTTCATATAAAATATGCATAATTTTAGTTTATGTTCTACTTATTGATGAATCATAATAATTATTAAATTACTTCTCCAATATTATGCAATATTAGGGAAAACGTTTGGAGAATCTCCTGTTTCCAGTAAGTGGAAATTCCACCTGGAATTAGAACATCTTCACTTAGAAAATTATAATT